TATGTATATATCTCTTTATATATATATATATATATATATATATATATATATATATATATATGCATATATATAGTTAGGCACAATGCAACATTTACTTTTCAATTCGTATTAAAAAGTTTTGATTTAGGGCCACTAAGTGTCATTAAATATATTATCATATGATTCTTTTTTAAATGTGATTATTGTGTCATTAAATCTCACAATGTTGTCCTCCAGTCGTGAAGGAGTGCGTGGACGGGATTCTCTTGTGTGATTAACCAGATCTTTCCACCCCTCTGCTCTGTTTTGCAGGCCGCCCCCTGTCTGTGGGAGGAATAAAACAGTCATTTAAACACACATTAATCAAACTGAGCACTTCCAAACAATTTTTAATAGGCAGAAAAAAAACATAAATTCCAAAAATGTTAAATAATTAATCAAAAAATTGAGATAACACTTTCAATAAATTTTGACACAAATTCTCCCTAATAATATCTACATATCACTTTGGTTACACCCCAAAGCTCTCTGACACTCATTAAGCAGCTAGTTAATTATGGAAATTAATCAAAAGTAATGATATTAACCTTGTTCATGAGATATGCAATAGACTGGGTGAATCCGCTGTGTTTCTCTGCCAGGAATCGATATCTTCTTTCTTCCTCCTTTAACGCCTCTTTCTGACACTCTCTGAGAAAGTGCACATATTCGCTGCCATCCTACACACAAACAGCATTATTACCATAATCATCATTATCATTATTTTTTCATATTTTGTACCGTCATGAATGATAATAATGCCCTACAGCATCTGTTTGGCTTCAACACTCTAAAAAATAGTTGTTTTGTTAGAAACACTACTGTAAGTAGTAGGTAAACAAGTGCAGAGCCCTTGAGCACACACAACCGTTCAAAAGTTGTTGTTTTTTTAAATTTCATAAAACTGTTGTTTTTACTGTATTTTAGATCAAATAAATGTAGTCTTGGTGAGCGTAGGAGACTCTTTCAAACATATTAAAACATCTAACTGTCCCCAAGCAGAAATGTCCACATCTAGTGTGCCATTAGGTAAGGGTCATGCACTGCTCTCACCTGTGGGACCCCTCGCCTCATCTGTCTTTCCAGTGCCGTTGCCTGGTTTCTCACTTCCATCTCATAGTGCCTCCTGCTGCTCTGGAGAAGAAAGTGACCCGACAACATCAACATCTACCATTATATTTTCAATATTCAGATTCATTTCAATCAGATAATGTTCCTTGTTATGAGCTGGCTGAAGGATAAAGAATATTTTATTAGGTAATCTGCTCTTAAACATAGTTGTATTTTTAAGAACAAAGTGTGTTTATTCATGTTTTCTGTTCTTACAATATTCATTTTTTGTATGCATTTGCAATATAAACCAAACAACTCACCAATATATATTCTTTATCTAGTCTGACATTGTTGTCCATCTCTCGAAGGACCTCGGAGTGGAACCAGCGGAACTGAATCAAAATCACACAGTCTCATTAAACATGTGATTGGCCGTACAGACAATCAAACATGCATTATGTCAACAACGTTATAGGAGCAGAAGATATCGAAAGATGGGTCAATAGAGGAGGATCGGTAACGCACCACTCCCTCCAGCTCATCGGTGAGTCTCCTCTGACTGTCTGAGATCTGGATCAACACATCACCTGCAACACAAAAACACACATATAGCCTTATAACAGCCATTGTATCTTCTGGTTGAGTGTCCATGTGTTAAAGTGCAAGTATTAGCCTTGAAAGGTTGCACTGCCAAGCTGACATTGTGTCATCATTTATTATTTAACATCACAGAGGAGGTGCAGTTATCTGATATTCACACACACAAACACACACACACACACACACACGCTGTCATACCATCTCACTGTGGTCATAAAATATGATTCATAGCAACAAAAGCACCATTGAAATTTAATGAAATTTTTCCATTAAACCACAACAGGGTGATAGATGTCAGCTATAAATACACACACACACACACACACACACACACACTCTCTCATGTGTGTATGAGAGATCCGAGGAGGAACATGGTGAATTTACTAGAGCAAAGTACAATATGAGTATGTGAAGGACACTGGCTTCCTCCCAATTTATCACCCTCAATAAACGCACAAAACTCTCTTGCTTTCCCGCTCTGTCCCTGCGATGGAAAGTACATATTCATCAGAAAAAAAAGAAAATGAACTGTGTTTCGTAAATCTCTGAGTTTGACAGAAACATGTCCTGCTGTAATTTAAAAGTGTGAAAGGAAATTAAATGATAAGAGGAAATGTAAGCTTACCCAGCAAACTCGATGACATACTCTGCATGGCCTGTTCACCCATCTTAGACAGAGCACTGAAATAAGCCTCACTGGTGACGGCAAGAGCTATAGACACACATACACTTGATTCATTTACCACTGTAAGAATGATTTCACGTCTTGTTTTCACAGTAATAATAACAACGAAACCTCTTTAAAACATGATTAATTTACTTGAGATAAAATATGAAACATTTGAATTAAATTAGATAAATTAGATTAATTAAATTAGAGTTCACTGTTTACACATATGGCCGATACTTTTATCGAAGGTGACTTTGATTTCATTCATATATTTTATGGTGTCATTTTAATTATATAAATAGTTGAATTAAATTAATCATTTTCATTGGGACAGACAGCAAAAAGACAACTACTCTCATTTCCACCATTATCCACTAAGTATACACCATATTTACAATTTTACAAAATATAAAATATTAACATTATGACTTGTAAAGATTTTTAAATGTACATATAATGAAATAAAAAGTAATAATATTAAATAAATGCTAAGTATACTAATATATTGATTAACTTACACTGTAATAATATCTGAACATCCTTAAAACAAGATTCATTTACTTGAGAAATATTTTTTAATTCATTTAAATTAGCCACTTTTTTGATGGTGTACAAGACATACAAATACCAGTGGCGGATGGCTTCAATGACAACAAACCTGCATGATATATTTGAATATTCAAATGTATTTTTTAGAAAATGTTTTAATATTTGCAACTGTAAAGGAGATTTGAGAGCTACAGTGAAGAAGGTTTCTCCTTTTGTGTTCCGCAGAAGAAAGAAAGTGATACAGGTCTGGAATGACACAAGGAAGTAAATGATGACAAAATTTTGTTGTTGAGCCAACCGTTTAAGATTTGTTAGACAGACAATATGTGTATTTTGACTTGTTTAATCTGCAGATTTGTTGTCTTGTTTTAATCACATTATTTTATTTCCTGTTTTGGTCATTTTTGTCTCTTTTTTTTCTTTGAGCTTAAGTAAAATGTTTAGTTTTTGTTTGCAACACCAATAAGTTTTTATATATATATACTGTATATATATATATATATATATATATATATAAAGTCAAATATTCATTGTCCAGTCAGCAAACCACTATAAAAATAAATCATTTTATTGGTTCTTTAATCTGTTGAAAGATGACTATCAAACAAATGGGACGTTGTTTGATAGTCATCTTTCAAAAGATTTAAGTCTTTCACAGGAACAGGACATCCCTGAGTGAAACTCAAGAATCATAAAACAGACAGTCATTAAACAATGATGTTGAATCAGCCAATGACGCTGCAGCAATGCTGACTTATTATCATCAATGACAACCGGCAGGCCAAAGTTCAACCACTCTGCTTTCCGTCTTTCTCCTTTCATCTTTTACAGTTTACCATCTACTGCATTCATTCTTTCTCATGTAGACTTGCCTTGGAAAGCCTGAATGTAGCTGTTTCCCAGTGCCACCAGTCTCTGCAGGCTGGGGTTGAACTGCTCCATTATGCTCTGAGCAGATTGACAAACAGTGTAAGAATCAGAGTCCGATAACAAATCAAATGTCAACACATGTTGTCACTACATGTTACTGCACAACAATCTGTCACCTTGGTTGCAGATTGCTGTTTGTCACAACAAAATGTTCTATCTAAAATCACTTCTGAAATATACCCATTTCTATATATTTCTATATATTTTTTTTTTGTTACTAATATGTATTTATATTTATGATCTATCTATAAAAAAACTAAATGTACAATAACTTTATATTTTAAATTATACTTATTTATGTATTGTTTTACATACATCATCTACAGGTGCATCTCAATAAATTAGAATGTCGTGGAAAACCAAAGACATAAACTACTTCAGTCTGTGTGCATTGAATTTATTTAATACACGAGTTTCACAATTTGAGTTGAATTACTGAAATAAATGAACTTTTCCATGACATTCTAATTTATTGAGATGCACCTGTATATAAAATATACAATAATTTTATAATAATTTAAATTAGATGATAAGTATTTATATTTATTATTTTTTTATACGATTTTTAAAAACCTATAGCCACATATTTTTGCACAATATAAACATTTATACCAATATAAGTCCACGTCCTTGTATTTTATTAACCTTGTTCTACTCGGTTCATATAGCCTAGATGTGATAGTGTATAATTCACACTCAGGAGTGAGAGGCTTCACGCTTACCGTATAAATGGTCAGAGTGGTGCGGTGCAGCTGATCACTGTTTTGTCCTGACATCCTGATCTGAAACCGTGGCACAACAAACAAATAAACCACATCCACTGACTAAACAACAAACAACCCGACTGACAGATGACCCACTGCTGTCTCCCCCTCGTCTCCTGTGTCCTCTCCTGTCTCGTCCCGTAGAGAGAGAGAGAGAGAGAGCTATTGTCACCCGTGTGGCCTGTGAATTATTGAACAGTGCAGAGTAATAAAAGTGTGACTAAGGTTAGACACCTGCCGTAAACACTGCACACCTGCAATAGGAAACAGGATTGGTGTTGAATAGCCTATATTTTTTTTGCATTTTTCTCAGTGCAGTGATCAGAAACCTCTGCTAAAGTATATAAGTATAATTATTCATATAATAATATTATTGTTGTTGTTGATGATGATGATGATGATGATGATAATAAAAACATAAAATAAATAATATTGCTTGCTCTATAGGCTACTTTTTCTATTCTGTTTTCTTTTTATTTATTATATAATAATTTTTTTTAAAACTTGCTACGTGTCCTGCGTTAAGCTAACTGAGACTTGTTATAGCACTTGCATATCATTGCTCTCTTGTTGATTTTGATTGCTTCCATTGTCCTCATTTGTAAGTGGCTTTGGATAAAAGTGTCTGCTAAATGTCTAAATGTAAATGTAAATAGTTTGTTGAAAATAAATAAATTATACATCTAAAGCATACTAATATGTATGTAGCTAGTACAGAGATATGAAATATTAAAAATGATATATGATTTTGAAATGTAATAGAATAAAAACGAATTATAGGCTACATATTAAGTACACTGATATTTATGTAGGATAGATAGATTTTAATAAATAGTTAAAAGGAAAGTATTGTATGAGAATGTAAAAAAAAATGTTCTTCTTTTTCTAATGTCTATTCTCTGTAGACCAGTGCATTGTTCTTGAATGGGCCGCTGTTTCGAGCCGCACGCGTGGTTATGATTGGTTCCCTCCTCCACGGCGCAGTCTCCCTCCATTGCTTCCGCGGAAGAACCCGTCTCTGCTGTCCCACTAAAGATGGAGCTGTCTGCGGCAGGGGACCGAGTGTTTGCCGCTGAGGCCATCATGAAGCGCCGCGTCCGTAAGGTCAGTCTGTTTATTATTAAAACTCGTTTTATTTCCTTTCACTGCGGCCTACAGACTTCAGACTGCACTGCGGACCGAGCGCAGTGCACTGAACTGCAATAGAGCACCATGCTTTCCTATGCAATCATAAAATGAGTATGCATTCATTTTTAGGGCACTAATTTGACAGAGTTGCTCATTTTTGAGTTGCTCATTCCATGTGTTGTGTAAGTTCGTTTAGGTTGGAGTGGCGCCAGCTGGAGCTGGTGCTGTTAGCGCGTTAGCTTTTTTAGTGTCTGCCTGGAGTGCAAATTTTTGACAAAGGCCGGTTAGTCTGACTCCCCATCGACACTGCAGGCGTGCGACGCTACCCAACTAGAACACTAAGACTAGCTTAAACAGTGAAGACGTTTAACGTTGCAGTGCGTTAAAATCAACCAAACCGTGCACATTTTGCGCGTTTGCAGGATGACCGTTTCGTAAATATATAACGGAATGTTTACGTTCTATATCGGTGGCGTCGCGTCGCGTAGCAACCACTCGTTTTTAACGTTCAACTCGCTGTTTGTTTTTGTTTTCAGGACGACCGGCGAATTTTTTGAGGGACGGTACATAACAAAATGTTGGTTGTCATATGACCGGCATCCCCTGATACTTAAATACATGAAATAACTTTTTGTATATTGTGTTACACTACGCATGCGCACGCATTTGATTAGAGTTCATTATTGAATGGACATATTTCATTTATGGGGTCAGGATTATTCAAAGGAATAGTTTACCCTAATTTGGGGCGTTTTTGTTAACATTTTACTCTCTCACCCTCTTTCCAAGATTACACGATTTACTTCCTTCTGTGGAACACAGGTTTTGAAGAATATTTTTTTTCCATACAATGGACGTGAATGGGAACTGGGGCTGTGAAGTGCCAAAAAAAGGACAAAAATAATTGGCATCTTAAAAGTGGTCCATATGACTATATTGCAAATCCTCTAAAGTCTTAAATTAGCTTTGTCAAATTGACTGCTTCACGACCCTAAATAGGACAAGCAGTTTGGAGGATGAATGGATATGGACTACTTTTATGATATATTTACACTGCTTTTTTAAACTCTGAAGAGTCATCTGTATGGAACAAACTGAGTAAAGATTCTTAAAGACTATCTATTCACGTGTTTCATTAAAAACAAAAACAAAAAAAAACAGCATATGGTTTAATAACAGCATGATGGAGAGTAAATAATGACAGAGTGATCCTTTTGGATGAACTATTCCATCAATGAAAGATATCTTCCAGAAATGTTGGGAACTGAATCTGATCTGTCTTTTCCATAGGGACGGATGGAGTACCTAGTGAAATGGAAAGGATGGGCAATAAAGTAAGTGAACAGAAACATGATTTATATGTTAAGTTTTGTATATCTAATAAGTCATGGATGTTAAATGATCTGTATATTTTGCAGGTACAGCACATGGGAACCTGAGGAGAACATCCTAGATGAACGACTCGTTGCAGCATTTGAACAAAAGTGAGTTATGTGTTTTATTGTTGCAAAATCAATATTTTTCCTGATTAACATATTTAAAGGAAATGGACTTCTAAAAAATATCAACTCAGTGTTGTTTAACATTAAATGTTCGGAAAAGTGCCTGTATGTATTTTAAAACCAAAAAGAAGGAGGAGGTCCAACCAGATATATTAGTCAATGGTGAAAAATTACAAATTGTGCCAGATTTTAAATATCTTTGGAGTTATTTTAGACTCTCATTTAACATTTGAAAAGCATGTTCAAAAAACAGTTTGTGCAGTGACACCTCAACTTAGAAATTTTGCATTTATACGGAGTCAACTTTCAATAGAAGCTGCAAACGTTTTTTTGCATTCTTTGATCGTCTCTCATTTTACCTATTGTATTACTTCATGGTCACAAGCAGGAAAATCTACTATTAGACCTTTATATACCTTATATAAAGTGCTTTAAACGTATTTGACAAGAAACCTAACAGATATCATTGTTTTGCAATTAAAAAGTAACATTTCTTTACTTTTGACAATTTTATGTTTTACAATTTTTGTTTAATGTACAAAATTATTAATAATCTTGCACCCTCACCCTTGAAAGAATTTTTTTCTTCATATACTGAAAATATAAGACAAAACAAGAGCTTCATCAAGAGGTGATTGTGCAGCGCAGTTTAGAGTTACTGATTTTGGTCGTTCAGCTTTTTCTGTAAAAGCTGTTAATAATTTGAATAATTTACCAGTTAATATTAGACAGTGTCCTACTTTTGAACTGTTTAAGTTACATTTAAAAATATGGTTAATGATGAGTCAGGTTTGTGATCAATGAATATTCTTGTGTTGGTTACATAACTATGGTTGTCTTAATTTTTTTGTCACTGTTAAATAAAGAATTAAATAAATGAATAAATAAAATTACATGAATACTTAAGTCAGAGTCTGAAGTAAAACTTTGTAGTCATGCTTTTTGCTTGTTTGTTGTTCATAAAGCTGAAACTGGCACAACAAGTGCAAACAATGACATAATCAAAAACCTTTTTGAACAACTATTTTTACTCAGAGAGCGGGAGCAGGAGATGTATGGACCTAAAAAGAGAGGCCCAAAACCTAAAAAGTTGCTTCTAAAGGTACGTCAGCAATACCAACTGACTGGAAATAAATGTATTTTGTGATGTGCAAAGTCATCTAGATAATTTGTTTTGGAAAAAAATGCTTCTAAAATATTAAAAATTATCCCAAAAATGAACATTATATCATCATTCCCATTATTCCCATTCTGTCATTCCCAGCCCATAAGACTTTTGTTCATCTTCTAGCCTAAATAGTGGTCGATCGATATTGGTTTTTTGACAGCTGATGCCAATGCCGATATCTAGAGAGCAGGGTGGCCGGTGACTGATATAAAGCCTATATATCGGGGTTGTCAAACTGTTCCTGGAGGGCCGGAGCCCTGCAGAGTTTAGTTCCAACCCTGCTCAAACACACATACAATATAGTTTTCAAAAAAGTCTGAAGGACTTGATTAGCTGGATCAGGTGCATTTAATTAGGGTTTAATCTAAACTCTGCAGGGCTGTGGCTCTCCAGGAACTGAGTTTGACACCCCTGCTATAAATATACATATACATAT